CGAAGGTGTTGGTGCACTCCACTTGCTCCGGAGTTGCCTATTTGGTTAGTATGCTTTGGATATATATTGGTTGGTATGGCGGGGCCCTGTCCCGACCTTTATGATTTTATGTACTCTTAGAGGCTTGTAGACAGATATCAGGTGTATGGATACTTGTATGACCTTGTCGGCCAATGTTTTGAGTTTACTAATGGTCATGTCGGCCTTATAGGCCCGTATGTCACATATATAAGTTTGTATATCATGCTGTGTCTTCATATGTTGAGTATTCCCTTATGTTTTATTCTTGTTATCTCATGACAGGTTTTCTGGCTCATTTACTCATGATAATATGATAAGAAAGATATGTTGCATTGGTACTCGGTTGAGTAAGGCACCGGGTGCCCGTCGAGGCCCTTCGATTTTGGTCGTGACAGTTTCGGTTCTGCATATTTACTTTGGGACTACGGAATGGTATTTCGGTAGATCTCCTTCCACATTTATGTCTGGGATTACAGGATGGTATCCTGGGAGATCCCCTATTGTTATCACTGTGTTCTGAGCTGTTGTTTTTCATTGATTCAATTCCTGTGTAAACATTCGACGTGCTGTCCGTTCTTTTTCTTATGCTTACTAGCTGGTATGAACTATGTTAGGACGCTTGCACAAGCATACACGCAGCTAAGCACCCTTATCGGATAAGAGATTTTCTTGATATTGCTGAGTATAGATGCACACCCTTATTTACTTGCCTTCCATATGAGAATGACTCTATTTAGCACATTAGTCGTCAGTGCAATTATGAGGTATGATGAGGGCATATGATGCCAAGTGTTAGGGTTCAGGTATTAAGACCCGTATTGTATGATTATGAGATAAGGTGTCATGGGGTGACATATGTTTGAAAGATATTTATATGGAGGAAGTATATTTCGAAATATTTTTATTGGAAAGGATTATATTCTAAAGATTTCTATTTGAAAACTTATGGGTGAAAGATCTATATTTGAAGGATTTGACTAATTGATTGGAGTTTGTTGGCTAAGGCCTGATGTGAAAACTTCCATAGTTGCTAAATTATTATTTTTTTTACTATATTTGTGGTTTCGGATTTGGGTTGTGTTTCTGTTTACTCTTCTGTGTCCTTATTATGGTGTTCCTCTGTTACTTGTTGTTTCCTTCCTTATTGAAAATTTCTGTATTGTTAGCCATATCGCAAAGTCTTTATATAAATACCATGTTCTATTGTTCCTATACTTATTAGTTTATTAGATCAGTAGGTGTCTTGACTGTTCCTCGTCACTACTCCACCGAGGTTAGTCTTGATACTTATTGGGCACCGCTATGGTGTGCTCATGCTACACTTCTGTACATTTTTATACAGATCCAGATTTTTGCTCGTTAGTAGCTGTGCGGATCGTTGTTGTGGAGACTCAAGATAAACTTATTGGTGTGTTCGCAGGCTTCGGAGTAACCTTCTTATTCCTGTATTCACACTATTTTACTTATTTCCAAACAGTTGTATTTAGAAGTTGTAGTAAACTCTGTAGAGCTTATGACTTGTACTACCGGTTTTGAAAATTTTTAAATTCTATAAAGATTTTTATATCGAGACTGTTAGACTTTCTTTATTATTGTTGTTCTTCAATGAAATGTTGGGCTTACATAGTCCTTAAGACTAGGTGTCATTACGAAACCCAACGGAGGAAAAATTGGGTCGTGTAAAGTTGGTATCAGAGCTCTAGGTTCATAGGTGCTACGAGTCATAAGCTATTTTATCATTCCATTCTCTCACCGACGGTGAGGACACGAGCTGCAGTTATCGATGATGCTGCTCCCGGAGCAGGTGTCGCCAGAAGTAGAGGCAGAGGCCGACGAGGAGTATGTGCCACAACTAGATTACCTACTAGAGCAGCAGTTGAGGAGCCGCCAACAGCTCCAGTTGGGTAACAGGTCCCGGAGGCGCCTGCTGTTACCCCTGGACGTCAGGAGACTTTAGCATAACTCACTACAAGAAAAAGCCTTATCTAAGACCAACTTTTAGGGACGAGTTAATAATCCCGTCGCAAAAAATATATTTATTGGGACGAGATTATATTGCGGTCCCTAATACTTTATTTTATTGCGAAGATATTAAATCTGGTCCCTAAAAAAATTAGTAACTGGTCCCAAATTATAATTGAGGGGCCTTGAGGTGAGAAAGTGCTGCCAAAAATTATACCAAAATATTAGAAAACTATTATTTTTTTAAAAACAGGCGCCAAAGCTAATTTATTGAAACAAAAGTCTAAAAACTGAAACTCTCTGTATTCTCCAAAAACAAGCGCGCACAGATTTTCCCTAATTCTCCGCCTAGCTCTAGAGCCCACATCTCTTATCTGCATCTTCTCAAAACTCAGATTGTGAATTTCTACCCTAATATCCATCTCGCCTTTGAGATTAATCAAAGGTATGCCTCCTCTTTCAAGTTGCTCTTTTTCTTCTCTAAGTTGTTCTAAATCGCTGATTGTTATTCCAGTTGTTGTTGTTGTTCTTCTTCTACAACTACTACTTCTCTAACATCAAAAAACTGGTAAGGTTTCGTACTCTAGTATTTTTTCTTTTGTATAATCAGTGGAAAGATTATTGGGTACCCGCTACCGTCTGTCTATCTAAGGTTTTGTACTCTGGTATTTGTGTTGGGTTCCTAATAGGATAATTCAATTTCTGAAGTGTATTCAAGTTTGTGGCATATTAGTTTTATGTATTCAGTGAGAGATTTACCGAGCCAAAATAGGGACTAACATGTATACTGTCATATTGCAATGTTGATTTACATATGAAAAAGTACTGTCATATGTGATGGAATAACGTGTATACTGTCATATGTATTTTAGCATACCTGAAAAATAATAGTATCTAGAAAGAAGCAGTCTTTTAGTTGCGCGCGACTGATTTGGATGATAAAGACTATATGTTGATAAGATAAGAAAATTCATTAGGTTGACAAGAAATTATTAATGCTTTCTTTAATTGTTCTGTTCTTCTGAAGCAAAGTTCAATTTTGCTATAGAGTCTATGTTCACTGGAAAAATAATTTACTTTGATGTAAGAATTGCAATTCCTATTCAAATTAATTGTGTCGTAAAGTATATTGATAATTTAGGACCAGTTACAGTTGGTCGCTAAAATGATTTAACGATAAGAATAAATATATTTTTCATCGTTTATTAGGGACGAGAAATGTAGTCTCTAAAAGTTATTCACGACCAGGTTTTTTGTTCGTCTCTAAAAGATAATTTAGGACCAGTTATAGTTGGTCACTATCAAGATTTGATGACAGGAATATATATTTTTTTATCGTCTATTAGGGACGAGAAATGTAGTCTTTAAAAGTATTTCATGCCCAGGTTTTTTCCCATCTCTAAAGTGATTTAACGACCAGGTATTAAAACCCGCCGTTATTGACATTTAGCGTCGGAGGCTATTACGACGGGTTACGACCAGCCTTTTCCCTTCTTAATTAACCCTTTTAGGACCAGATTTCAACTTTTAGGGACCAGAATTCCCTTCCTTAAAGGCAGTTTTTCTTGTAGTGGCTCCTGAGCATGTTTGGTACATTGGCTCAGGCAGGGGTTGATTCCGGTTGCACCAACTACTTTACAAATCGGGTGAGGAACTCATATCCCCGCCTCCCACACTCCAGAGCAGCGAGTTCACGTTGGTCAGGTTCCAGGTGTCATGGTGACACAACCCGTGGTTCCAGTTCAACCCATGGTCTGGGCAGTAACATCTGAGGAAGGGCAACTTAGATTTGCAAGGTTCAAGGAATATGACCCTCCCACATTCAGTGGTTTAGCTTCAGAGAGCGCACAAGGTTTTATAGAGAAGTGCCATCACATTCTCCACACTATGGGTATTGTTGAGATGAGTGAGGTCGCTTTTACTACGTTGCAACTTAAGGGAGCGACTTATCAGTGGTGGCGGGCATATGAGTTGGGTATCCCGGTCGATGCAATTTCACTTACATGGGTTCAGTTTTCAGAGATGTTTTCGAGAGAGTTTGTACCTCAGTACCTTCATGATGCATGACGCGCAGAGTTTGAGCAGCTACGCCAGGGCACTATGTCAATATTAGAGTATGCCGTTAAATTCAGTGATTTGGCCAGACATGCACCTGTCTTGGTTGCTACAGTTAGAGAGCGAGTTCGTAGATTCATTGGGTGTCTCAAGCATGATATTCGGTTCAACGTGGCTCAGGAGTTGGAGTTGGAGTCAGATGTAATCTAATACCACAAAGAATCATAATGAAACTCCAGTACGTTGCACACTTATACCAATTATTGAAGCAGCAACTGAAACAACAAAAGACGTTTCGTGCAAGTCAAGGGACGTGTTATGCAAATATTTTTGCATGCCAAGCGTATTTAATTTCTTAAATCCTTTTGGAATAGCTATATTTAGAAATATGAAAAGTCACTCAATGTTGAAAAACGAGAACAAGAAGATAAAATGTGGGCGATACATATGTCTTGAAAAAAGAAACTAACTTTAGTAATTAATGAGAAGACTAAGATATATGCAGTTTAATACTAGTTTTTTGAAGTTTCCAAGACAAGCTTTGAAAGTTACATTGTTTAATATCAAATCATAGAAGAAAGGTAGATCAGTGAGCCTTTATTATCAAATTTCAAGGTGACTCCTTTCTTCTTCCCTTACTTTCATGTTTTGGTATTTAGGTTTTGAATAGAATCATTTTGTCATTTTCTTTTTTGCTTTTGTTTTGTGAATACTTTGTTAAAACGTCATAAAATGTTTGGACTGTAGCTAAGGTTGGATTATAATACTGCATTCTAAGGAGTATATTTTTCCGTTTTGAGGAAATTACTGTTGGTGGCTGTTAGACGGGAATCAGAGAGGGTGACTCTTATGAGTAATATTGGAAGGATGAACTGAATTTGGTTGAATTAGACTTACAACTATAGACTGATTATGCTCTAAAAATAGCTTAGCATTAATATATACTTGTCTCAGTCCGGTGCACAAGGTATCCCGCGTTCACCCAGAGTTCAGGGAAGGCCGCATGCACCCTAAAGGGTGTGATATACATGTAGACATTAACCTACCCTAATACAAGTATTAGTGGTTGCCTCCACGACTTAAACTCGTAACCTATAGATCACACGTAGACAACTTTACCATTGTTCCAATGATCCCGACCTAATATATACTTGTATCTGCAACTTTAAAAAGCTAAAACCAAGATGGAAACTGACAAATAGATTTGGATGCTTCCTAGTTTTGATCATTATGCCATTGTTCTTGTATCTCTGCCTAGTTTGGATCACTATGCCATTGTTCTTGTATCCCAGCTCCCTTTTTCTTATTTTAGAATCACACTTTTTAGTGCAGCAATGGAGACACTACCATCTTATAATTGCATTATCCACCTGGAGAAATTCCCCACATTCAGTATAGAAAAGGCCATGTGCAACCACGGCTTTTTCATGATGGCTCCCAACTGTTGGGAGCCATCTACTAAAAGCTTTTCTCGTCCTCTGCGATTAGCGGATTCCACATCTGTTATGACTTTCATTTCACAACCTCCAGGAAAGGATCATCTTGTCATTAAAGTTTATGGTGCAAGTATTCTTTGGCTTAAGGATGAGCTAGCCATCCAGGTGCAGTTCTTGATTCTCTCCTTCTAAGCAAAAATGCAAAACACCAATGTACCACAAAAGAAACTAACTTGAGATGTTGTACTTCTTCTATGTAGTCTCAAGTTAAGAGAATGTTGAGGCTATCTGACATGGATGAACAAGATGTGAGAGATTTCCATAAGCTTCATCCAGAAGCTGAGGCCAAAGGATTTGGTAGATTGTTTCGATCACCAACCTTATTTGAAGACGTGGCCAAGTCTCTTCTTCTTCGCTTTTGCCCGTAAGTTCATAGATGCAACAAAATGTAGAAATAGTTGATCATCTTGAGTTGAACACGGATGTGCTTGTAAGGTTATCATAGTAGTTGATTTTAATTGTTTTTCAGAGATACCCTTTTTATATATTGCCAACTTTTCTTAGGTGGAAGACATCATTGGATCTCGCAAAGGCTCTGTGTTTTTTACAATATAAAAAATTCAAGTCGAAAAGAAAGAGAGCCAATATTTCATCTTATGGAGACTTCCCGAATGCAGAAGAATTAGCAAGTTTTAGTGAGAAAGAGCTAAAAGGTAAAGGCAATTTTGGGTATAGAGCAAGGGAGTTGATTATGTTGGCAAAACAAGTTGTTGATGGGGAAATTTATCTCAGTAAGTTTGAAAAAGACCACATTGGTACCGAACCAAACTGGTCTAAGCTGAAGATAAACGGTGCTGGTCCGTTCACTATTAAAACTATCATGATGTGTGCTGGATATTATAGTTACATCCCAATTGATAGTGAAACAATGCGTCATATGGATGAGGTAAACGAAATGCTTTAAATGTCTTGTCAATAAAAATTAATCGGGACAAAATAATTTATTTATTTTCATCTTATTAGCCCATATTTTTATTTTGTTAGTCATTATATCCCGAGTCTGATTTATGAGCTTCATTTCAGTTTCATGGACTTAAAGTGCACAAGAGAAAAAGAGGATCCATCAATCTCCAGATAAGGGACAAAATACAGCAAATCTACAAACGTTATGATCCATTTCAGTCTTTGGCTTACTGGTATGTTGTGAATAATGCTCTCCCATTTTTTTTATAGTAGCGCAAACAAAAGATGCTCAAATACGCTTGATTTATTCTATTTATCTTGACTATATTTAGGTTTGAACTTGTCAACTCTTATGAAACAGAACTTGGGAAGGAATTAAGCGAGTTATTACCATCAGAATATCATCATGTTACTGGTAACTATGAAAAGGAGAAGAAGAAATTCTGAGGTAACATTGTGCAAATAACATATATACTTCAGTATATGTAATTATTTATCTTTATTTTATTTTCATCTTTTTGCTAATAATTTACTTTAAAACTAAAATTGTAATAAAAACATCCCAAGTTTTGAAAAATATTAGAAAATGCATATAAGTTCTTTTTTTTAGGTAACATTGTGAATATATATTCTTCTCCATATCTATACATTTTATTCACGTGATTGACTTTGATTTATGCATCCTAGCAATTCACATGGAAAAAAAGGAGTAGTAGAAGAAGAAGATATCGAACAGAGAGTCAGGAAAAATGGGAGGAAGAATCATAGAAGGGGAAAAAGGGGTGACAGAAGAAAATATTTACAGAATTTCATTCTTGTTTCTCTCTGTATTTATAGGCTGTGTTTTTGTAGCCGTAACTGCATTAAATAATTTGACTAAATCCCTAACTGACTTGATTTTCTAACTAGCTATTTTCCTTGTTCTAACATTCTATATTTCGTTTAGGATATACTTGTAACTCCATGTTTTTTTAGGCCAAATGCATCGTCAGCTCCTCAAAAGTGTTTCAATAATTCATGTAGCAACCTAGCTAAATCCTATGACCCTTTAAAAACTTGACCTCTATAGATGTACTTAATATAAAGTGGGCACTATCTTGCTATAACATATATCTTGCATTAAAATTGACATCCACTCTAAAGTATAGATAGTAACAGAAACCTAGAAAACAGGAAAAAAACAAAATGTTTGAGAGGTTATTACCTTGTATAGAGGCATCTCCCCAGCGAAGTAATTCTGGACCGCGATATTGATGTATGTGGAATGAGCATTTAATTTGGTGTCTCATCTCAGATATCACAAAGAAATATCAGATATTCAGGCATCACATGTTGGATGGTATTTAGTTTTCTATTATCAGTTCCATTTTTTCCAAGAAAAAAGGAATAAGAAGTACCCGTATTTCAAAAATACTCATTCAGTCATTTTGGGAAATTCTTACTGGTACAGTTGTATGGTTGGCTGGCTGTACTATTTCTCTGCAATCATGTTGTTAATAAGTAACCAAGACAAATATCTCTGACGCAAGTTAAAGAACTGAGCAACGTAACTGATTATTAAATACATTGAGATAGAAGATATAAGGAAGTGAAAGAATGAAGTAAAACAAACTTTTGATAGCAACTAATAGGGGAATTTGATTCAACAGACTGAAAGGAAATTACAAACTCGAATGAAATTGAAAATCTGCAACAGAAGGGTAAGAGGTAAGAAGGGATTACACCAAGAGAGGGGGAGGAGAGAGAGAAAGAGCTGCAACATTACACATTAACGATACCACTACTGATACTAGACATGTCTAATATAATATTCCCCTATAACCAACCAGCTATTGACATTTGCCTCATTCAGCTTGCCATATAAAATCCCCCAAAAGCCTAATGGGCTGTTTCAACCTTCTGCTCCTATGTAAAAATTGGTAGCCCCATTTAATCTATACCCATTTTTTTAAAGTTTTAATTTGTAAACTACTTTTTATTTTTTGGGGTCAGGGGTTTGCATTTTCTTGGGTTAAAAGAGGAGGAATTTTGGCTTTACTCAAGAAAGATCCTACTGAAAGCAATCGCAATCAATGTATATGACTTATAAATTTTAATCAGCAATGACTTACAAATTGCATTCAGCAAAGGGGGCTTACATATCGCAGTCAGCAAATGCAACTTACAATCGGAGTCAGCAAAAGCGGCTTACAAATCGCAATAAAGCAAAATTATAAATTGCTATCTGTAATTGCAACTTATAAATAAGTGTGATTATAAATGCAACTTATAAATCACATTTGTAAGTCAGCAAATGCGACTTACAAATCGCAATTAGCAAATGCGACTTATAAATCGCAATTAGCAAATGCGACTTATAAATCACAATCAGTAAATGTGACTTATAAATCGCTATTTGTAACTACGACGTATAAATCAATGCGATTAAAAATGAAACTTATAAATCACATTAAGCAAATGTGACTTATGATATGCAGTCAGTGCAACTTATAAAGCGCAATAAGAAAATGTGACTTATAAAATGGCAATCGGCAAATGCGGGTTATAAACTTATATCTCTAAAGTTGGAAAAATTATATTAATATGGGAATTCTTCTGAATTTTTTTCTTTGGGTGGGAGATTTGTATTTACCTGGGTTAAGAAGGATGAAGTCTATTTTTTTAATTTCTTTTAATATTTTTTATACTCTTACTTTGCTGTCAAGTTTCTCTTTTCTTCTTGATTTTTTCGTTGGGATTCTGAATAATTCTACTCAAGAATATTTCTACTGAAAATCTATTGAGCTTCAACTTTCTTTTTGAGTTTGAGGAGGATATCCTGATTTTTCTGTTTTGTTAGTGTTTGGTACAGACGTCACGTGCAGAAATTAACCTTTACATAAAGAAGAGAACTATCAACTGTCCTAATTAGTAGGTTTACCAGCTCCAGCGATCAAGTCAACGAACAGAATGTTTGAGTCCATATATAACAGCTCAACCACTTCTCTGGAATTCCAAGAAAGAAAGGAAAAATGATATAAGGATGCCATTGGACACGTGTCTACAACAATATGTTTTTAATGTTTCAAGTGCATAAATGACTAAATGATGTTTTGTGTACTTAAGAAGGTGAGAATGAGCTTGTGTAAGATCGTGTTAGATCGAACATAGTGATGAACCACATGATTAGAGATGACAAAATGATTAAAAAAACAGTTATTCATCCATATTATTCATTAAAAATAGGCTGAATAATGAACTTTTTAAAAACTGGTTGAATATGGATAAGAAACATATTATCCACTTAGAAAATAGTTAACCAAATGGATTTGTTTAACTTTTATATTTGTAAAGCCTCAAATTGGGGGTTCCTCAACTTTGGGAGACTAGGAATACTCCCATAAGTCACCATGTTCAAGAAGTCATGTCCATATTATCTGCCGGATAACCCGTTTTTTATCCGTCCCAAATACGGGTCGGGTCGGATGATTTATCCATTTTTTGAATTACTCATTTTCGACTCACTCATATCCGACCCGACCCGCCCGTTTGCCACCCCTGCACATGACCACTGATTGGCTCAAATGATATTTATGATGTTTCTATATATCATGACCATCACGTGAGAATATATTTTATGTAAGTCGTCTAATGAATAATGACTTTACTGGCGATCTATTTGACTTTTATTAGTGATATATAGTCAACATTGAGTGGCAACTAAAGTAAGCGTAAAAAATTACGCGGCAAAAAAGAAATTCAAAAAATAGATTTTAGGTAGTTTGCCAACGAAATAATTAGTTTAATGGCAATCGACTTTTGTGGAGACTATAGTTGCTAAAAAATGTCAGTACTTAAGCGAATAAAATCGGCAAAAAGTTAAGGCTATTGTGGCTAAGAGAGTTTCTTTTGAAAGGATAAATTCTTTTCGTAGCGAGAAAAGTCACCACATAAAATCGAAAACATCACCACCCAAAAAGGTCGGCATTGTAAGTCGCCGCTAGAAAGGGTGTCTTACCATGCTGACTTGGCGACGTTCTTATTTTTAGTGGCGACCACAGAACAATTTATCCTTTCAGCTTGCCAGATGATTTTTCTGACATCATTTAGACATTCGAGAAAATGGAAAATCCTAAACAACTGTAATCCCGTTGGACGAGTAAGACTTATTGTCATGCTCTTCAAGTCAGTAACCACTTTAAAAAAAGCATAAGGTAAAAATCACAAATAAATTTATGATAGTAGGACAGGCAATAATTGTTGCCCCAGCCATTCGAATGTACCAAATTAGGCAGCGAAAGAAAATAGTGGTGGAGAAAAAATTGTGGGTCACACGTCCTACAATTGCGTCGTCAAATGTTCAATGTCTTCAAACTTGTACGAGACTTCCTCTGGAGCAAAGGAACAATTCGACTGTGTTACTTTAGCCTGTGCTAGTTTTAAGGGTGGATATTTCCCTATGCATATATAGGAAGAGCACATGCATTAGAAAACCATATATATGAGTCTATCTTTTGTGATAAAACTTTCTTCAAATTCTCATACTGCAAAATTGGATCTGCAAAATATAGACTAGACAAACAAGGATTTAGCATTAGTCGCATACCTCACGTAAATCAGTTGGTATTAGGTGGGTTGTTATAAACCATATGGGACCTCTCATGCATGTAATGTTCATTTCTCTATTTGACTCATTATACTTGAGACTATTTCTTCTTCTCAACTCCTCTCTCTTTTTCCCTCTTGCTAGCAGTGAGCAATTTCTTTATTTAAGCCCTCAACTTTCACTATCACCTTATTAACTTAACAACCATATATAACTTGCCATAAAAAATTTAGGGATAAAATGGCTTCCTTCTGCTTAGCTTCTTTCTGCATAATGGTACTGAGTTTTTCAGTAACATTTGCAAGTGGAAATAGTGTTCCCAACAAGTCCAAGGAAACATGCATTAATGATGCAACTACCGTGTTAATTTTTGGTTTGTACCCAGAAGCTGAACCTATCATAAATTCATGGGTGGAAAGAGCAGTGTCTCAAGACCCCAGAATGGCTGCTTCTTTGCTTCGTCTTCATTTCCACGACTGCTTTGTTAATGCAAGTCCACTTTTTTTTTCCTTTTTTTTTGAATAGTATATTTTATGTTAAATAATACTCCATATATATGTAAAAACATTTCAGGGATGTGATGCATCAGTATTGCTCGACGATACCCCTAATTTTACTGGAGAGAAAACAGCTGCCCCAAACTTGAACTCATTGAGGGGTTTTGAAGTGATTGATTCCATCAAAGCTGATTTAGAATTGGCTTGTCCCCAGACTGTATCTTGTGCTGATGTTCTTGCTATTGCTGCTAGAGATTCTGTTGCTATGGTATTATATTATTCCTTATACTACTAACAAATTAATAATTCAGAACTTTTCCAATAATTAATGCATGCAACTCCAATTATTGCAGTCAAGAGATTGGGGATGGGAAGTTCAAATGGGGAGAAAGGATAGCTTAACATCTAGCAGAAAAGCAGCAAATAACAACTTTCCTGGACCAAATTCTAATGTTGCCACCCTTGTTTCCAACTTTCAAAACCTTGGTCTTTCTCTTCAAGATATGGTCACTCTCTCTGGTAAACTTAATATGAAGGGCTAGATGATATTATATTGATTTAACATATCACGGTCTAAAAAAATATAAGACTAATTAATTTTTATTATACTGAAGGTGCACATACAATTGGAAGGGCTAGATGCTCAACATTTGGTTCCAAGCTAAATGGGGGTAGCAATTCAGACATGAACTTGGATTTCTTGCAGTCACTGCAGCAACTGTGCTCAGTTTCTGATACAAACACAACATTAGCAAATCTTGATGACACGACACCATCAACGTTCGACAATCAATACTACGTTAACCTTCTCTCGGGAAAAGGGTTGCTTGTTTCAGACCAGGTTTAGCAACTGGGGATGACAATACTAGAGAAATAGTGCAAACTTATGTGGATGAACCATTTGTGTGCGTAACTGTGTTAAAATAAAAATCAGAAAACTGTT